GAACCCGGGGCCCCCCCGGGCGGGGAATGCTGTCCCAGCCACCGGCAGGGCCGTAGTGCCCTCTCCTGGCCCTGCAGGCGCTGCCAAATCCAACCGGGAATCATAGAATCATAGAATCTTAGGGGCTGGAAGGGACCTCGAAAGATCATCTAGTCCAACCCCAAATCCTCCAGCCACCAGCTGGTGGGATCTGTTCTCGTTCTGTGGTCAATGGAACAGCAGGAAAATATAAACCACTTAATATTTCGGTGCTTTTTACCCCAAAGAGCTGTGGGAGCAAAGCCCTTCACCTTGGGTACCCTTGGTGTCTGTGCCACGTGGGCAAGATGATGGTGCCTGAAACACCAGAGAAAGGAAAAAACAGAGGGAGGGATCATAGCATCATCCCTCCTTTTCCCTGTGGAAACAAGACCACCTGCTCCATGCAAAGACAGATTTGCTTCACCTCTGCCCTGGGATGCTCCCTGCCAGATGCCAGCAGATACACTGCTCTGGTGTTTGGTTTTTCCACGGCCAGCACTGAGTGATCCCTCTGCTCCCATCCTCACTCATGTGTTGCTCCACTCCTGCTGCCTGAGTTGGTTCCCCTCTCGGAGGAAGATAAGCTCTGCAGGTTGGTTTATGGAGGGTGGCCTTTGGCTGGGCTCTGAAAGCACCGACTGCAGGAAGGGCTTACAAAATCCCCCACTGCTTTTCATAGAATCATAGAATCTTAGGGGCTGGAAGGGACCTCGAAAGATCATCCAGTCCAACCCCCCCTGCCAGAGCAGGGGCACCCAGAGCACATCACACAGGAACACGTCCAGGTTGGAATGTCTCCAGAGAAGGAGACTCCACACCCTCCCTGGGCAGCCTGTTCCAGGGCTCTGTCACTCTTACAGTAAAAAAAAAATTCGGATATTCACCTTGAACCTCCTGTGCTCCAATTTACACCCATTACCCCTTGTCCTGTCACTGGTCATCATTGAGAAAAGCCTAACTCCATCCCCCTGACATTCACCCCTTACATATTTGTAACCATTAATGAGGTCACCCCTCAGTCTCCTCTTCTCCAAGCCCAACAGCCCCAGCTCCCTCAGCCTTTCCTCAGCAGGGAGATGTTCCCCTCCCTTCAGCATCTCTGTGCCTCTGCCCTGGGCTCTTTTCCCGAGCTGCAAGGATTCCCACCGGTGCTCCCGGCCAACTGCACCTTCTCTCTGTGCCTGGAGGGTCTC